CTGTATCATCCTCCCAGACTTTTCTAGCTTCTGCTTTTGTTCGCTGAAGGGGCTTTGATCTCATCCTGGCTTGAGAAGTACTCAGTTCTGTGCGCAGCGGAATGGACATGGTATATATATTGCACAGCTGCGTGTTCTTCGTCCTCGAAAAGTGCATTTTCAGTCAGTCGTCACTCATACTTCTCGCCCGTCAGAGCGAATAAGGATCTCTTAGTTACATTACCTATGAGAGAAAAGGACGCGTCAACAGTACGTGAAAAAAGCCATTAATGACATAAGAAGTGGATGTAAATTCGTCGGAAGACCTGCAGAGGTCGAACGAAAGACGAACATGATTTATCATCCATATTAGAGTGATCCGCTACTTTTGCCGCTGCGCAGTCCATATAGTACACATTCACGCGGGACCCGCGAATTCTGCATCGGCGAAGCAGATCCATATCGGGATTCACCAACTCATTCTAGTAGCAGATAATTACCTCACGAGGGTTACCTCAGTATCCCTCGCAACCAGCGAAGTGAGAAAGTTCAAGAATTCCGATGAATTTTGCAATGTCCACCATTCCATCGCCTTGGTAGTTTCAACCCCTCAGGCCTGAGATCTGCCCGCCTTAATTAGCGCCTTCCATACTCGTATCTCAGAGGTGGGAACTCGGCTTAAGAGCTAACATTACCGATGCATGAGTGAGAATGGCGAACTGGTGTGCCCCTCTGAGCACCATAGGACTTCCGTTCGCAAGGACTACTATTCGAAGCCAAGTGCATACTATGTGCGGTTTCTGAAGCCGGAGCCTCTTCTCAGTAGTCTCAGGTAACTAACTATGCTACAACTAAGAGAAACAGCATTGCCAAATATGAATAGATTGTGTCAGAATGTTTCAATCCCTGAAAATTCCGGCGTTCCCGCTCCGCCATCGATAAGCTACTCATCGATGTCCTGTCCACGGCACTGTAGCTGTCTGAATCGCAGTGCTCGAAACAGACTGGGTTCATCCAGGACATCACAAGTTGCGAGCCGGCGGCATTTGTGGAGTCCACAAACAGTGAGCAAGTCCTCGCTCCGACTACCTCCGCCTCTCGTAAAGGTATCAAGCAAGATTGCCAGATTTGCTCTCAAGGTATAAGCGCCCTACTGGTGGGATGAGGAGTTTGATTTGTTCCAGTCTTCTCGCCGAACACGCGGGCCGCCAGTGGTTCTGGGCATTAGCGGGGCCACGGGGCGTTGAGGAGGTGCATATTTGTTTGTCGTTTGCGCTGATGAACCTTGGATTGTGCAGTAACCGCAGTCGACTGCACGGACGATCTACAATTAGCGTTTCGGACGTTGGAGCCCCTGTATGTCAAGCGCGCGCTAGGTACTATAAATAATCTCGCGTGATAGAGCGGCCCCGTGAAGCTCGTTAAGAGCAGAACGAGGATCACGACTTACAAACCATGCCAATATGAATCTCTTGTCTGTTCTTCGCATACGGGAGCTTTACCACCATGTGGCAGTCTTTCTACCCAGCACAGACGTATACAACCTCTCCCAAGCAGTTGGCCAACCATTCGCGGGGTACGACAGGTACCTCCTGCAGCCCTGGAGAGACTACTTCACTACTCCGAACTGGCCCGGCAGTATAATGGAAACTCTAGAGGGGCTGAAACTTAATGCTGAAGTACTTGTTGTGGGGCCTCACATGCTTCAGCCTCGACGCCTGTCACCCAAGGATAACTACTCTACGCGTCGGAAAATCCTGGAGAAGCTCAAACTGCCGTACCTGAACGTATATGTGGTGCTTGACAACGCACCGCGCATGTCAACAAAATGCACGTGGGCCCTTGAAAGACAATTGATGATGCTCATGATGCATCTTGGGTGCGTCGAGGAGTTTTATCTACCAGCTGGAAAATTTGGCGTCGGCATCATCACACTCACAGACTTCGCACCGTTGGTTAGGTATTGCGCTCCCGGAGAGAAAAAAGGACTGCTCCGACCCGCACGGTCCACTTCGAGGCGTGGGCTCGAGGACCCTCCTCCAATCGAGTACATCAGGATAACAAGAGACGGCACTTTCTCTTCCAGGGCTGAGAGGGTTTGCTGTTACCATCCGCACGAACGCAACATATATATCACTATCGGCGGTTTCAAGGGAGATCGCGTCAGCTATGCGACGTACAGGATACCTAGGACTCCACCAGCATGAGCGTATGGACGAACTGTATCAGCAATGGTTGAGAGTGCAGATATAGCAGCTTTAATTCTCTTCTTGGAGTCGATAGCTCTTTAGACTCACAACCCATCGACAGTTACTTCGGTAGCTCTGTCCAAATATGTACCGTAGCTTCCTTCTCCAAACGTGTATCCTGCACCTTCTGAACAACAAATTCCCACCGCAAGAGTGAATACAGCAAACAGAGTGTAGTATTCTAGCATGTTAATTCTCGTTCCTGGAAACACCCCTGCCCCGGTGCACCACGTTATTGTGCAAGTACAGTGTTCTAAGGAACGCTTCCCTCGGCACCGACCATGATATTTCAGCGATGATGTACAGTCTCCGTCACTCTAGCCAGTTTGAGATAGCGTTGTAGAGTCTCAAATGAGAGTTCGATCTGGGCCAGCTGAGTCCTCCTCTGTTGTATTGAAGTATGGCCAACATTCACTTGCGCCGCCATGAATTTCCCGATTTTTCATCACCATTCAATACAACCTAAAGGCAAACAGTTGCGTGATGGAGCCCAATGGTCATTTCACTCACGCTGACCCATCCGTACCCACGAAGTAGACTCATGGGGGTTTCTGGGACTGAATGGTCGCTGGTGAAATCGCTTCTAGTTCAATAACTCGCTAGATGCGTCGAGGTCATATTTCAGCAGCTGTGCACTCATTTATGCTTATAAGGGGAATGAGACGGTGTTGGGTTCCGTAGTCACGTCTTGTACATAATTTCTTATAGGGGAACGGGCTCTGTGGTCCCCTACCAACTGATGACGAAACAATACTCTATCTAGTTAAAATATTCGGATGAATGACGAGAGGCCCGCACGTCTATGAATCCACGCGCATATGCGACTCCAGAGAAAGCAGATGGGAATTTGGCATTCTCATGGTCACTACTACTAGTTACAAAGGCAACAGAAACCAAATGTTATCAGCGCAACATATAGCAATACTGGAAAAAGGAGGCCTCGCTCGAGACCCTTATGATACGAATGTGGTATCGAAAACAAGATTTAACGACAAGAACACACAAGTTGGCCCAAGTCCTATGGTACTTAGCTTTGAGCCTCTCTTGGGACCTGCTGTAGATTTTTTTCGAAGCCTGAATAGCAAACAAAAAGATCGGTCGGTGGCTGGTACACCCCGATTATTCTTGATGGCTCGGCATGTATATAACCTGCACTTTACCTCAACATTTTTAGAAACACGTCTGACTTTCAGCAACAAGCGATAATGTCTACTGCATCGCACCAAACCATCGAAGATTTCTTTGAAATACCTGAAAAAGAACGATCCAAGTTGCAAAAGCTTTTTCTTGCAAATTTCGACATTCTCGCACAAGAAGAGCCAGAGCGTATTCAGAGTTTCGTAAAGTACATTTCCCTCAAAGACCTCAAGAAGCTATGCCGTACTACGGCTCCACACGGACAAGTCAGTACGAACACGCATTACTTTTGGACGCAACTTGGAAATTCTAGAACATTGCACGACCACGCCCTGTCACCTGAAGAGCGCGCTTCAATACTGAAAGCCTGTCCGGAGCCGTGCCAAGGTCGTCTTCTAGAATCTTTGAGGGGGAATTTTGCTCTCAGCACGCTCAAAGCCATGAATAAGGGCCGGCGTGTACGAACCTTGGAGAACTGGGTATATTGGCTAAGACTCAAACTAGACCTTTTGGATGAGCCATTCTCTATAGATATAACCTTCGATCAGTAGCAATTGGCATATATCGAACGGTACGAGGAAAGAAGACTGTGCTGGTCCTGTAGGTCTGAGCCATCTGTGCTAAGTATATGGTACAAATCAGAACACCAGTTAAATCTTTCACTGATCCATGCTTTTTGTAGCGGTATGCTACTTTAGCTAGGTTTCATCGCTGCTAGCAGTCCAGGTGAGCCATATGGTTTACCCTGAGGCAAGCGTGTGAATAGCATTCGATTCGATCAAGGCAGATCGCGAAGTATGCCGCGCAGAGCGGACTGTCACCTCTGATACGTTTCTATTAGAACTTTACCTTGACTACGAAGGCCAAACTTTATCTGAAGGGTGTCTTCATATATATACCGTCGATTCTTCCTCAGCAGCCATTGAAGGAGACACTCATTCAACCATCCTTGTTAGTTTTCCTCATCTAAGGAATCCAAAGGAGAGTGGTTGTTGCTATATAGGCTACATCGAATTCAGCTTAGCGTATAATCTGTGCGTTCCTGCACTATGAGCCGCATGACAGACTGGGCGATGAAGTGGCCGAGGAAGGGAGGCGACCAGCTGCATGTGTACCTGGTGATTGGGGCCCGGAGGTCCTGGCAACTGCCAAGACAAACACGGCCCCGGTGTGCAAGATGACTGAATAAGAACGCGCAGGAGAAGCGAACTGATAGCTTGGCAAACTCCCAGTGGCTGGCGCAATCAAACAAAGCACACCTCACAGGCCGCGGTAATGGCTGACAGGGCCATTACGCTGGTGATCGGCATTGTCCTTAGATGAGTTGTGCGAGCTTTCCCCGGCCGGAAGCCGGTAGGTGTCACTTCTGTGCGCCTGGGCCACCGCAGACCAGCGCCTTTGCGGGGCTCTGCTGCCTGACTTTGTACATATCACTTTCTGCAGCTGACGGCTGCAAGCATTTCTTGTTTTCCTATATATACCTATCTGGCCAGGAAGAGATGGATACGTAGGCGCTATTTCACCTCTTATCTCAACTCGGGCAGTGGTTTCGCCGGATCCACAACCGGCCTCTTCTCTCCCGCCTGCAATTTCTGTGCCTACCTACTCAACTGACCGTCCACACCTTTCTGCAACATGACTGAAATGGCAGCCCCGCTCAGATTTCTCATCGCCGGAGGAAGCATCGTGGGTTTGGGACTGGCTTTGTGCTTCGAAAGCGCTGGAATCGAATACGAGCTGTTCGAAAAAGGCGAGGTTGTGCCGCAGCTGGGTGCATCCATAGGCTGGCATCCGCACAGCCTCAGAATCCTCGAGCAGCTAGGAGTCCGCGATGAAATAGAAAGAGGCGCCGTTCCGCTCCTTCACCAACAGCATTTCGACGAGCGTGGCAGGTGTTTCGAGGACTCAAACGTCCTCGTGGAGATTAAGAAGAGGTACGTCACCAAAATCGGGGTAAATACAGAGGCTAGACGGGTCGCTGGACTCTAATTTGTGTGGATTATCAAGAACCACCCGCCCCATCATCTTCGTGGAAAGATGCGAATCTCTACGCACCCTATACAGCCATGTACGACACAAGACCAAAATCCACACCAACACGAGCGTTGGGTCATATCAGGAGACCGATGGCGGGGTCTCGGTGACGACGAGCGACGGGAATGTCGTCCATGGAAGCATTCT